CAGACTGGCACCATAAAAATAGAACTATGACCAGGAACAGAGAAGACAATACAAGATATAGTTCACAGCAACAAACACTTATCAAGTGATTATGTGTTAATCTATGCTAACATGGCTTCAGTCCCTACTGTAGGGACTGCTGAAGACACCCATAAAGCATAGGGAAAAATAAAAACAAAATCTGAAACCACAACCTTGAAAAGCTAGTGAATTTTCTACATCATAGGACAAAAACAACTGCACTGAAGGGCAGGCTGGTAGGGGCAAATAGAGAGTTGGGTAGAAGAGAAGAGTCACTGTGGGACTCCACATCTGTACTTGAAGGAGTTGCTATCACCAGTCAGTCAAGAATGGGAGGGAAGAAAGCGTACACAATAGGGAGCCCTCCTGGGGCTCAACAGCACAAAGAGCGTCTGTTATCCTTGTTGGGTGTGTGTTTGCCAGAAATATCAGGGCTGCTGGAACTCCAGAACTCACAAGGGCATGCTTTTGTGTAGTCTAAATTACCTTGACTGTATAAGAACTCAAGTCAGAGGGCATAACTTCATTATCCATTTGTAGCCAAAAGATCATAAATTTTCTCTCCGATTTTTCCTCGAGTTTTGAGAAGCATTTCCAGTAAAATTCCAGCAAATTGTGATCACAGTAATACTAACCATAAATCAGCTCTTCGAGGAAGATTGCATTTTCACTTAAATATTGTTTATATCTTAGTTATTTAACAGCTACTTTCCTAAGAGTTAATATAATAATAGTAATAGCTCATAAATATTACCAAAGACTGAAAAGATAACAATTAGTTTGAAAAAAGTCTACTGGAAAATTTGGTTTGCTCTTCGTTAGTGGTATAACTGACCACTCCTATATGTCCAGCTGAAGGGTCCAGCTCAAAATGACTGAGGTTATAAAGCTTCCATCACTCAATTTGCAAAACTGTAGCAATAAGGTGGGGGGGGGGGGAACTATCCCTCACTTTGTATAAGACCCAAGAAATGCAAATCAAAACAAAGGCATAAAATGTTACACTGAGCAAATTAGTAACAGTGTTTTAAAATAACACACACACATAGAATGTTAAAGATAGTATAAATTTATGTAATCCTTTTAAAAAGTAATGTAGAAATTACTGTAAATCTAGAAATTTCCTAATAAGAGCTAACATTTATGTGTTGTTGCTTTTTATCTTAACTTTAAAGAACTAGTACTGTAACCCATTTTACATATTAGTAAGCTAAAGTTCTGAGAAAATAAATTACTTGTCCAATATTGCCAATGAGTAATGGAACTGGGTTTAAATCCAAAACCTCTAATTTTAGAACCTACCCACTTACAACTACTCTATACTATCTCTCAAGAAATCAATGATCCTAAGGAAGTCAAGGGGGAAAAAAGAAATAAAGTGACATGTATAAGAAGAGGCATTGTATTTTTTATGCTGGAAAATCAAAAATAGGTTTAAGTGAATAATGAACATCCACTGCATAAACTATTATAAAATTATTATAAATAATGGAAAGTAAACTATAGAAAAAAGTTTGTAAAAAATCAGGGTGAAAATTATCTGCAATAAGACATTTGTAAAAAATTTATTCGTATGGCAAGATCAGGAAGGGAGCTGGAAAAAATAAAAACTATTACTGTTTTGAAGAATTTCACTACTGGTATTTAATTTTTTTTTGTTTCTGTCAGCTTTGTCAATCGAGCAATATTATTCTAAGAACCCTTACAAATATATTCTAGTTCGTATTCTTAGCATCCCAATCAAACAACTCGTAAAGCAGATAATTTATAATTTATATTAGATTTATTCAAAATAATTACATATGTTTAATCAGTGCTGCTTTTAGAAAGCTTTAGCTTAGGGTATGAGATCTCTATCTTAACATCAACACTTTGCAATCACCACTTACAGTGTACTTTTGAAATCCTTAATTTAGACCATACATAGTGACTAAAATCAGCTAATTATTACTTTCACAAGTTTACAATCACTCCTCAACTCCTGTCCCCACCGGAGAATCATTAACCCAAAGGCTAATAGTACTTTACAGGTTAGAAATTTCCTAATAAGAATATACTCCGTAACTGAATACTTACCAAGTAACTAAAATATCTTAGCTATAAGAGAGGTTCGTAATCTAAATACGTTAGAGAAGCATTAATTACATTATGTCAAGTCTCTTTTAAGTAGGTAAATAAAGTTTATTTCCACTTTACCAAAAAGAAGAGTTTGGTAAGAGTAATTTTTCTAAAAATGACACTGTGAGCTGTGAGGAGAATTCACTATCCTTAGCCACACAAGGTGACATGCAGGGGTCCTTAGCCCTGTGTTTGGCCTCTATCAGCAACATAAACACACATTTCGTGGGTAGAGTAGCTGTTCTCCAATGACGTCAAACTGCAAGAGCAGGGATATAGTTTAAACATCTCTAACCTCCTCTTTAAGAATCCACCAGTCATCTTTTTTGTTGCCTCACTGTCTAACATCCACAGTCCAAGGGTTGTATCTAGCCAGTTTTAATCGTAGAACTATTTTAATCGTAGAACTCCGGAAGGCGAAGGACCCTTAAGAATAACATCGTTCAATTCCTTTATTTAACCGAGTGGGAGAAGTATCTCCAAAAAGAGCTACGTTGTGTGGCTGGTTCGTGGCAAATCCAGGCACGGAATTAAGAGATGCAACCTCACGAGGCGCGGTGGCTCACGCCTGTAATCCCAGCACTTCGGGAGGCTGAGGCGGGCGGATCACCTGAGGTCAAGAGTTCGAGACCAGCCTGAACATGGAGAAACCCCGTCACTACTAAAAATACAAAATTAGCCGGGCGTGGTGGCGCATGCCTGTAATCCCAGCTACTCGGGAGCCTGAGGCAGGAGAATCGCTTGAGCCCGGGAGGCAGAGGTTGCAAGCCGCGACTGAGCCATTGCACTCCAGCCTGGGCAACAAGAGCAAAACTCCATCTCAAAATAAATAAGTAAAACATTTGGTCTTCGTATTTATCCTTTGCCACAAACATCTTTATGTCATGTCAATGGGCGTATACACGTTTTCAGTATTTTCAGATACACACTACAATAGACAAACTGCTACAGTTCTCATTCTCTACTTCATAAGGAATTCCAAAAACGGAGGAACAATTCAACAAAATTTGCAAAAACCAACATAGGGAAACCGGTGTTCGTGGGAGAGAAGATAGTAGTTTTAAGAGTTCTTTCCACTGCATACTAAGACTGTTAGCACTCTAATTGATCTTCGATCATTGTCCACATTTGGCTAAATAATCTTATGCCATCATGAGTGAGTATCAAGTTAAGAGTCATCACCACGAATATATAGTTCAGTCTTACATTCAATTCGTCATCTATAACATAATTGCATTTTAATAGACTTACGTAAGGATATACAAAAACTTTACAACAGTGGCTGCCTCTGAGGAGGAGGAATATGGCTTGCGAGTATGCAAGGGAAGAGAGAGGACTTAATTTTTACGCTGCATACTCTTCACTGTTGTTTGAAATGTTTACCCTACTGACGTTACTTTTTAATGTTCATTCATTAAACATTTTCCTCTTGAAACACATACCTATACGCATGTAATTTTATTACTAAATATCTCAACTGAACATTTTAATTTTTTCTCTTGTAAATCATTTTTCAGTATCACAATTCATAAAACCTTCTAGAAATTTTCAGCAAAGAAGCAACACAGTCACAACACTCAAAGCAGAATTCCAAGATCTAAAGTCTAAGAACATGTACAGGGGAATGAGAGATTTTATTAAGGAGGATGGAGTTCAAAAACCTTTTGAAGGAAAGCTCTTCCCAGTATTTAAATAGCTAGGTTTAAAAACGGGATTTAAGCAGGGATTCCCGCCTCGAGGTGGGGAAAAAAAAAACATCTTACGGTGTGAAAAACAGGAATTAAAATGTGGTTTCTATCTTCTCGGCCGGGGCCAGAGGGGCGGGTGGGGAGGATAAGGACCTTGGAACCGTCACGTTCACCGGAGAAAAGGGAAAGACTGAGGAGTTTCTCCAGGACCCGCAGCCTCGCTTAGAGGCAGCGGCCGTTCCGAGCAGATGAGTCGCGTTCGGGGACGTTCCTTCGACGCGTGTAACTGAGAAACCCCACGCACTGAATCTACACAGGGAATTTCCTTTTAATGGAGCTGGAAAGAGGGACGGCTGGAATGGATTTCCTTTAACGAGTCTCCCTCACCCTCCCCGGCCAGGGCGCACCTCACTCGCTGTCTGCTCGTGTCAGGGTCAGCTGTCAATACAACCCTTTGTGTCTCATTCGGAGTAAGAGTGGTCCTAAGCCATGCACAGAAAAATGGACATGCTGGCCGGAAGACACGCACGCCCGCTCATGACGAAGTGACATTTGGTGTGAAGGAAGAAAAGCCCCACAGACGCCGAGCGAGCGCCCAGCCACCTCTGGACGCTCTTCTGGACGCTCTCAACTTTCCCAGGCTGAGAGCTCCATCCATCCTCTCCCCGCCACCTCCGCGGCGCCCTACCTGCCGCCCGCCCGCCTGCCCGGCGCCCCCCACCGCCCCCGGCCTCAGGGAGACCGACTGGGCGCCCTCCTCGCCGCCTCCGCTCGGGGCCCCCCACGCTGCCTGGCGCGCCCCAGCTCTCTCGTCCTACGCCCGGGCCGCCTCGCTCCCGCCACAAAGGCAGCGAGTAGAGCCCGGTGACAGGCCTTTGGCCTCTGGGCGCGGACAGTACGGCCGGGTCCCTTCGGTGGGCGACTAGAGGCGGCAGGGAGAGCGGACGTGGCTCCCAGGCTGGCACCGGCGCTCCCTCGCCACCCGCACGCGCTCCGCTCACACCCCCGCTGCGCTTCCCATCCCTCCCGAAAAGTCCGCCGAGGAGCTTCCCTGCGCGGCCAGGGCGTCCAGCCCGCCAAAGGGCAGCCCCTGCGGGCCACAGACGAGCTCCCGCGTCCGGCTCACGACCCCTCACCTCCCGCCCGCGCCCCGGAGTCCCCGCGGCCGCTCACCTGGCCCTGGCGGGGAGCGAGGGCAAAGGACCAGGGGGTGGCCCTCGCCTCAGCCGCGCTGGTCTCCCCACCCGCAGTGCCGTTCCCTGCGCCGCGCCGCGCTCCTCCGGCCGCCCGCCCGCCTTCGAGGTGCTAGCGCCGCCGGCGGCTGGCGTCTCTCTGGCAGGCGCGCGGGCAGCGCGCTCAGTTTCCCGGGGCGGAGCGAGGCGGAGGCCGCTGCGGCCGGAGGCGGATTCCTCAGGTGCTGCCCCTCCCGCCGGCCTCGGCCTCCGCGGCGGGGACCCCCGCGTTCCCTCCCCCCGCCCCGCCTCTCGCCTTCCTACTGCCTTGGCGCCCGCGAGTGGCTTTTGGGGGTCCCTCGCCCTCCGTGAGGGTGGTAGGCGCGCATTTCTCTCCCACCCCCTCCAACGACGCCCCCCGCCCAGCCTGTGGAGCCCTCGGTGCGCTGTCCTCACGCTTCCATTCCCAAACCCCGCCGCACCGACGAACGCGCCGCCCCTGTGGGATGCGGAGACGGGCGTGTGCAGGGGGTCTTCTGGGAAGGAGGGCTGCACCCCAGTGTGCTGACGCGCAAAGCCAGGCGGAAAAATGATTTTCAGCGGAGCCCGCGTTCATTCAGCGTGCTCTCGCCTCTGCGCGACTGCTTTCTCTGTTCACTGGACGGCGGCTAAAGAGCCCCAAGCGTGAACTCGGCCTGGGCAGTGGTGACTCGGAAACCCTTGGCCTTTTAGTAAGAAGGGGGTAGGGTGGGGGCAGGGCGCGGACAAACCAAGGCAACCTGGGTGCTCCAAGCCCGAGCCGACTTTTGCACCTCCCGGATGAGCACGCCCTCCGGCCTGGGACCCGGCTCGGCTCGTCCGGAGCCTCCCGGGACCGTAGCGAAGGCTCCACCCCAGGCAGCCGCGTCCAGCTGGCCCTGGGCCTTGACGGGTGCTTCGGGGCAAAGGTTCTCAAGAGATGCTGCGGCCAGATAGAAAGATTTTGCTCCCCTTTTCACAGCTGGTGGCTTTTGTTATTAGAGACGCAGCTCCATTTTTAAAACTAATTGTTGCCACAGATGGGCGACTACGCCCCTGGAAGTTGCAGCTCCATGCTGGATGTGGTGGAAGAATCTAGGTAAGGAAAAGCTGATATATTTTTGAGTGCCTTTGGTGCAGTACAGCCCCGGAGAGCTCCCCGTGTGTGTGGGAGTGGGGGGACTGCCGCGGCGCTCCAGCCCGGGTGGGGTGGTATCATTGTCAAATAGTAGGTACCAAGAGACATTGTCAATTAAAGTTGATCTCGTACGATTTCCCAGTACTTTTGTTTGCTCGTCATGCATTTGTCTTTTTTCCAGATCTGAAATACATTTTTTTTCCCTGTCACTTTTGATCGATACAGAGGGAGTAGACTGGAAGTTTGGAATCACTGAAAAATAACTCAAAATAGCTTAAGTTATGACTAGCAAGATAAATTATTTGTTCGAGACTTGATTGTCCTCTCCCTCCTCCACTGGGAAGACATTGCTGACTTTTTTTCCCCCCAATCATTTTCCAATCATGTTTTGTACCTTATGGGGTTAAGGAGCTGAAATGTTTTTGTTATTTTACAATTGAATCCCCTGTTGGGCCTTTAAAAACACATACAAACATTGTTAAGTGCCATGAGGGTGGGAAACACGGCTTTGTCGGTCGTTGCCGTACCGTCACAATTCTGTGTCATGCACACAATACAGGTTTAGTAAATAAAATCCTGTTTTTGGCCCCACGCGGTGGCTATGTCTGTATTTCCAGCGCTTTGAGAGGCTGAAGCGGGAGGATTGCTTGAGCCCAGGAGTTCTGTAGGGAGCTATGAACATGCCACTGCACTTTAACCTAGGTGACAGAGAGAGAGAGAGACCCTGACTCAAGTGTGTGTATGGAGGGGTGTGTGCTTTAAAATAACTACAACATAGAAAGGTGCAGATGATTAGCAATAGCTAAAAAAGAATCCAAAGTCACTTAGTAAACTCATCATGAGAACTGGCCATACATATGGAAAAGGCAGTACTGTAGAAACCTGAGATTTCAAATTCACCTGGTGAATATAAACTAAGCTCATAAGAGGTTAAAGCAGGTGAGAATCTTTTGAAAAACTCAACCCATCACAAAGTCTGTAGGGTGTGTGGGGGTTGGGCAGAAGCAGAACACCTTTCAATTTAAAGATAAGGAAACTGTGAACAATAAGCAGCTTTAAAGTAAAACCACCAGTGCAGTTTTCTCTCTGTTTAGTTCAAGGACCATTTGTCGAGTGCCAAATACACTAGATCCTAGAAATGTGAAAGCAAATCTGGCAGTCACCCAAGGACCTTAGTCTAATATTACAGGACTCTGGTATTCATTCTTCATCCATTCAACAGATATTATTGAGCACCTACTGTGAGTTAGATGGCATAATACACACCGGTAGTATTGGTGATTTATCAGTAAACAAGGCAAGTCCCTAACAAGGGTAAAAGTGAGAGTAATCTGGCCGGGCGTGGTGGTTCACGCCTGTAATCCCAGCAGTTTGAGGTCAAGGCAGGCAGATCACGAGGTTAATAGATCGAGACCATCCTGGCCAACACGGTGAAAGCCCGTCTCTACTAAAAATACAAAAATTAGCTCGGCGTGGTGGCACGCACCGGTAGTCCCAGGTATTTGGACGGCTGAGTCGAGATCATGCCACTGCACTCCAGCCTGGGCAACAGAGCGAGACTCCGTCTCAAAAAAAATAAAATAAAAGGACGAGGACCAAATATCACCCACTAAAATGGAGTTAATGCAGGAAGTAGGACAAAACCTTTTTTTTTTTTTTTTGTATTTTTAGTACAGACGGGGTTTCACCATGTTGACTCTCGATCTCTTGACCTTGTGATCCGCCCACCTCGGCCTCCCAAAATTCTGGGATTACAGGCTTGAGCCACTGCGCCCGGCAGGACAAAACTCTTTAAAAATTTTTGTTCGTCTTTCCGTCTCACGTCGCCGCTACGAGAGGAGCCACCGCCATGTCTCCGCATCTGCAATGGAAGGTCGTGCGGAACTGTTTCAGTTTCCTCATCAAGAGGAACAAGCCAACCTACAGCGCAGAGCCCGATAACTTGAAGGCCCGCAACTACTTCCGCTACAGCAGGCTGATTCACCACAAGATTGTGGGCGTGGAGTCGGCAGCAGACGGCAAAGGTGTCGTGGTGGTCATGAAGCGGACATCCGGCCAGTCACCTCCTATTTCCGTACCAACAACAACAACAAGAATGTTCACGCCACGCTCAGCGGCACCAGACACATGATCCGCAAGAACAAGTACCGCCCCGACCTGCGCATGGCAGCCATCCGCAGGGCCAGCGCCATCCTGTGCAGCCAGAAGCCTGTGATGGTGAAGAGGAAGCAGACCCGCCCCACCAAGAGTTCCTAAGCCCCCTGCTCCCAGAGCAATAAAGCGTCAGCTGGCTTTCTTATCAAAAATAAAAATAAAATCTTCTTTTTTTTTTTTTTTTTGTTTGTTTGAGATGGAGTCTTGCTCTTATTGGCCAGGCTGGAGTGCAATGGAGCAATCTCGGCTCATCGCAACCTCTGCCTCCCGGATTCAAGTGATTCTCCAGGCCTCAGCCTCCTGAATAGCTGGGATTACAGGTGCCCGCTACCACGCCCAGCTAATTTTTTTGTATTTTTAGTAGAGATGGGTTTCACTATGTTGGTAAGGCTAGTCTCGAACTCCTGACCTCAGGCGATCCACCCGCCTCTGCCTCCCAAAGTGCGGGGATTACCGGCGTGAGCCACCGCGCCCGGCCTCCTGTTCCTGTTCTTAGCGAAATGTAAAGAGTAACAGGCAGGTTGTGAAAATGAAGCAATCTGAAAACCAGAATGTCGTTGGAATTAAACAGTAGATGTCTATTTAAGCTGAAAAAACTATGGAGGGCCGGGCACAGTGGCTCACGCCTGTAATCCCAGCACTTTGGGAGGCCGAGGCGGGTGGATCACGAGGTCAAGAGATTGAGACCATCCTGGTCAACATGGTGAAACTCCGTCTCTACTAAAAATACAGAAAATTAGCTGGGCATGGTGGCGCGCGCATGTAATCCCAGCTACTCAGGAGGCTGAGGCAGGAGAATTGCCTGAACCCAGCAGGCGGAGGTTGCGTTGAGCCGAGATCGCGCCATTGCACTCCAGCCTGGGTAACAAGAGCGAAACTCCGTCTCAAAAAAAAAAAAAAAGGAAAAAGAAAAAACTATGGAAGCAGTTAATAGAAAAAACAGATACCACTGAAAACTGAATTAGTAAATTACAAGACCATCTCAAAGAATCCAGAGTGTAGAACAAAAATATGAGGAAATCAAAATTGTGAGAGAAAAAATAGATTCAGGAGAGCTACTATTGATATGTTGGAAGCTTGAAAAATAAAATGGAACACATGCTATATATTAGAACTACAAAACATCATTAAAAGAAAGAAAACCTAAGTCAATGGAAAGACATCCTGCATTACTGGATTTAAAGACCTAACATTGTTAAGATGGCAATATCCTCCAAGTTGATTTACAGATGCAATATAATCTCTATCAAATTCCAACTGCCTGTCTTGTAGAAATTGATAAGCTTATCTCATAATTCATATGGAAATGCAAGGGATCCAAAATAGCCAAAATAAACTTAGGAAAAAAGAACCAAGTCAGAGGACTACACGTCCCAAATTCAAACATCATGACTAAGCCATAGTAATCAACACCACAGTAATCAGACTAAATATCTGACATAAGTACAGACATATAGATCAATAGAATAGAACTAAAAGTTCAGAACTAAACCCATGCATCTATGGTCAATTGATTGTCAACAAGGGTATCAAAATAATGCAATACATTGGAAAAGCATAGTCTTTTCAACAAATGGTGCTGGGACAGCTGGATATCCACCTGCGAAAGAATGAATTTGACATCTACTATATAGCATATACAAAAATTAACTTAAAATTGATCACAGGCTGGGCACAGTGGCTCATGCCTGTAATCCCAGCAGTTTGGGAGGCCGAGGTGGGCAGATCATCTGAGGTCAGGAGTTCGAGACCAGTCTGACTAACATGGTGAAACCCGTCTCTACTAAAAAATACAAATTAGGCGTGGTGGCAGGTGCCTGTAATCCCAGCTATTCGGGAGGCTGAGGCAGGAGAATCACTTGAACCCAGGAGGCAGAGGTTGCAGTGAGCAGAGATCTCGCCATTGCACTCCAGCTTGGGCAACAGAGCAAGACCCTGTCTCAAAAAAAAAAAAAAAAAAAAAAAATCACAGACCTAAATGTAAGCGCTGAAAGAGTTCTTTGACATTGGATTAGGTTTCTTAATATGACACTAAAAGTACAAGCAACAAAAGAAAAAGCTAGATAAATTGATTCATAAAAATTAAAAACCTTTGTACATCAAAGGACAGTATCAAGGTGAAAAGATAATCCATATTATGGGAGAAAATGTTTGCAAATCATATATCTGATAAATATTATGTAGACATATAAAGAACACTTGCAACTCAACAAATGAACAATCCAAATTAAAAATGGACAAAGGATCTTAATAGACATTTACCCACTGAAGATACACAAATGGCTAATAAGCATATGAAAAGGTGCTCAAGATCATTAGCCACTAGGGAAACACAAATGAAAACCACAAGAGATACCACTTCACACCATAAGAATAGTTATTATAAAAAACACAAAACGAACAAAATAGTTCTGGAGACAGACTGGGAGCCTTCATCAAACTACTTGAAACTTAGAACTATCTCAGCCAAAATTCTAGTTTTTAATTAAGCTTTGTAATGCATTTGATGCTACTTGCAGTTAAATAAAAGACTCAATAAAGAGGTAGAGTTTTTAAAAAATACTGGAGAGTAAAAGCCCCATGAAATCCAATTATTGATCATGTTTTTAGAAAATCTAATATAAATGCTATATAGCATAGAAAAAGCAAAAATTGAAATATTAAAAATAATCTGTAATTAAAATTCCAGTTTATTTCAATAAATGTGGGTGGTATGGGCCCTTGGGGAGAGAATTTTAACTCTTAAATCATGTTTGGAGAAGAGAATGGGTAATAATATATACTGCCAGGCACAGTAGTTCATGCCTGTAATCCCAGTATTTTGGGAGGCCAAAGCAGGAGGATCACTTGAGCCCGGTTTGCGACCAACCTGGGAAACACAGTGAGACCCTGTTTCTACAAAAAATAAACAAATTAGTTGGGTGTGGTGGCACAATCCCAGGGTCCCATCTACTTGGGAGGGTGAGGTGAGAGAATCACTTAAGCCCAGGAAGTTGAGGCTACAGTATCCATTATGGTAGGACTGCACGCCAGTCTGAGTGACAGAGATCCTGTCTTAAAAAGAGAAAAGATGTATCCTTTTTTCTTTATAAGCATATCACTTATTTAAAGGACATCAGTTTTTTGGGTTTTTTTTTTTTTTTTTTTAGTTTAAAGATACTGACCACAACTTCCTGCAGAACTTTCAAATGATTTGAGAAAAAAGAAATACAAAGATACCAATACAAATGCCACAATAGTCAGGAAGAAACAGGAAAAACAAAGCATAAGAAAGAGAAAACATAATTTAAGGTGTATGAACACATTCTTGGCATCAATAACAATAAATCAAGTGGGCTAAATTTTTCTACTGAAAGACAAAAATCTCTCTAAAAAAAGAAAATACAACTATATTCTCTTTATGAACAATATCTGAAATAAAACATAGGAAGAGTGAAATTAAATGGATAGCCAACAGTTACAAGTAAGGACAAAAAGAAGCAAAGTAGCAATATAAAATCAAAGTGAAATTCATGATTTAAAAGCACAGGCCAGGCACGGTGGCTCACGCCTATAATCCCAGCACTTTGTGAGGCTGAGGTGGGCGGATCCCGAGGTCAGGAAATCGATACCAACCCGGCCAACATGGTGAAACCGCGTCGCTACCAAAATACAAAAAAAATAGCCGGGAATGGTGGCGCGGGCCTGTGTAGTCCCAGCTACTCGGGAGGCTGAGGCAGGAGAATCGCTTGAACCCAGGAGGCGGAGGTTGCAGTCAGCCAAGATGGCGCCACTGCGCTGCAGCCTCGGGGACAGAGCGAGACTCCCTCTCAAAAAAAAAAAGGGGGGCGGGAGGGGGAGAGGACCAAATAAGACCAAATATCACCCACTAAAATGGAGTTAATGCAGGAAGTAGGACAAAATTTTTTTTTAAATCTTGTTCGTCTTTCCGTCTCAGGTCGCCGCCACGAGAGGAGCCGCCGCCATGTCTGCGCATCTGCAATGGATGGTCGTGCGGAACTGTTCCAGTTTCCTGATCAAGAGGAACAAGCTGAACTACAGCACCGAGCCCAATAACTTGAAGGCCCGCAACTACTTCCGCTACAGCAGGCTGATTCACCACAAGACTGTGGGCGTGGAGTCAGCAGCAGACGGCAAAGGTGTCGTGGTGGTCATGAAGCGGACATCCGGCCAGCGGAAGCCTGCCACCTCCTTCTAGCGGACCAACAACAACAACAATGTTCGCGCCACGCTCAGCAGCACCAGACACATGATCCGCAAGAACAAGTACCGCCCCGACCTGCGCATGGCAGCCATCCGCAGGGCCAGCGCCATCCTGCGTAGCCAGAAGCCCGTGATGGTGAAGAGGAAGCGGACCCGCCCCACCAAGAGCTCCTGTCAGCTGGCTTTCTCACAAAAAAAAAAAAAAAAAAAAAAAAGCAAGCAAGCAAGCACTGCCAGGCACAGTGATGCATGCCTGTAAGCTCAGCTGGTAGGATCTCTTAAGGAAAAGAGATCGAGACCAGCCTGGGCAACACAGCAAGACCACCAGGCTACCCCTGCTGCCACCTGCCCCATCTCAAGAATGAATGAATGAATATAAAAAATAAGCATTAAATAGGACAAGACCAATTTACTTTGATAAAAGGTACAATAAAAGAAATGGTGAATATTGAACACCCACTACATGCCAGGCACCGAGGTGAGTGCTTTACATACATCTTCTTAAATAATTCTTACTATTCTATGGAATGACTATGGTTAATGCTTTTTTTCATTTTGCAAATGAGGACTAGACATCAGCGAGATTAAATGGTATTCGCAGTGTCACAGTGATTCATGGACATGGAACTCAAATCCTGATATGCTAATTCTAAAGTGCAAGCCCATAGCACCAAAATATTTAAATAAATAAGTAATGGGGATAAAAGGAGAATTTTTTTAAAAAATTTTAACCATTTCTTTAAGAATTTGACAGATCACATAGACCAAAAATATGAGAGGATGTGGAAGATAAAATGCATATGTAATACATACAGATAACTTTGAACTCTAAAACGATAGTACATGCATTCTTTTCTAAAGTCCAAGAATATTTACAAATATTGAAAAGTTCTAAGCCACAAGATCTTAACAAATTCTAAAGAATTAAAATCTAGAGCCT